CAGAATTCCTGTTCTGTCCTGGCCACACACCTTCAAAAACACATATTCATACTCAACAGACTGTGGGATAGGGCATCTGGTGAGGGAGATGGTAACCTGATAGATCTCTGCAACTCTGCCTCCCCATCCCAGCCCTTGCCTGCTGGGAGAGCTTGATGTGTGTCTGTGTGTGTGTGTTAATGAGCAGTTTGGCCTTAGCTATAAAACTGATACTTTTCAATAGTTCCTCTTTTACTTCTAAATCATACATTGACACAAACATCCCTGCAGTTAGTGCTAACAGAATCAAAATGTTTTAAGGGGGGGGAGGGGGCTTGTTGTTTTGTATATGTTTTTATGGGTATTGTATATGTTTTTATGGTTGTAAGCCGCCCTAATTGGATTTCCAAAGGGCGGGATATAAATAAATTATTATTATTATTATTATTATATTTAATGCATACCAGAGACACATATTTTGCCAGTATGTTCAATGGAAATACTGAGATGGAAACCTGCACTCACTAGATTTCCATGTTTTTGAAAAAGCAACCGGATTCCATTCTTACATTAGAATATTATTCCTTTTCATGACATCCCACCATGACTTACATTCTTCTTAAGATGGCCATTCCTTCTCACAGTTGTCTTGTTCTATTGTTCCCAAATCAGGATCTCTTGGCTTTCACAGTATTCTTACTTCAAGTAGAAATTATATGCATACTCACACACTGAAGTCAGAGCTGACATGTTCACCAGTCATATAGCATTAAGTCTTGTGAAAATAAACATGCTTCGTCATCCTTTATCCCATTACTGAACACACGCAGAGTAGCTTTAAATATACTTACACTTTTAGTGTAACTGCTATTAAATTTCCTTTCAGTTTCCTTCCACTTTCCTGGGAAGTTTAAGTCTCCCGCGTACAGAAATCTTTCTCATCCTGTCTCTAGAGGAATTCTCTTTAAATGTACTGTATATATTTCTGTTGATCAGAGGACTATGGACCTATAAAAAACAATGGCCAAAATCTAATTATAGTCCCAGCTACAGTAGGCTCAGAGTCAACTGCCCAATGGCAAGCAAATCACAGAACTTCTTTTGATCTGCTCTATTAGGCACTAGAAGTGAACAATATTTGCATGAAATATGCATATGATATGGAACCATATTAGTCACACAGTTGAATTGCTACATTTTCTTAAAATCTGCCATGAAGAGGTTATGATTTAGATGAAACATAAACCTCGCTTTCCTCTTTCCCTTTCCTAAATACTGTTCAAGAGTTCATTGAGAAACACAAGAGGGGTTCACATATGTGTGAGCAAGAAAGATAAGAAAGTTGATGTGGGGTATGTGTGGAATAAGGTTGCTATTATTATTATTATTATTATTATTATTATTATTATTAGTTTGGTATATAACTATAATTTGTTATGCACAAGTAATTTTAACATTTTTCTTCCCCTCTGTATGAGAATAGGAAGATTCCTGAGTTTATGATGTACATTCACACTTCAGGACTTTTCTTGAACAATTACATGGTTTTTTTCTTTGTGGAAAAAAAATGACATTTTGCTTAGAAAACTTAATGTTTTTTATGCAAAAAAAATGTTTTCTAAGCAAACTGTCATGCTTCCCACAAAGAAATAGCACATGAAAAGTGCACAAGAAAAGTCCTGAAGTGTGAATGTACTTTTTTTTTTTCACATGGGGAAAATGTATTTTGCACAAATAATGTATTTTTTTTTTCCATTTCCTTGGCTGAAACATGGCTTTTGCAGAAAAAGCATGTGTTTTAGGTGAAATGAATTTTCCAGAGAAAAGTTCTGAAGTGCAGAGAACTCACTGGTGTTTCTGATTTTCTTACTGAGTTGTCTTTTCACCGAGAAAGAAAAACATAATCATTTTCTTTACAACTCTATTATGGAGTGGTGCATTGAGCCCTACCACAGGCAGAGTGAGGAAGCTGCCTCAAACCTCTGATACACAGTGATACATGGGCACACAGCAGTGGTGAACTTTCAATGTAGCATGGTTTATGTGGTCTGCATTGCTTCCTTTAAGTTGTCCTCAGATAGAGTGGTGGACACTGTCCTTTCACCAGCGTTGAAGTAAGAACCAACTGTCCATCCGGTCACGTTATGTATAAACGAATGGTGTAGGAGGTGTCATCTTGTCCTTCATCCCAGACAGTCAAGTATGTTAGACCTATTTTGCATAGTTTCCATCTAGTCATGCGCCTCCCCCCCCTTTTTTTTTCTCTCTGTTGTGTGTCTTCAAATCATTTCCAAACCCTAAGGCAAATCTATCATGGGGTTTTCATGGCAAGATTTGTTCAGAGGAGGTTTGCCATTGCCTTCCCCTGAGGTTGAGACACTGTGACTTGCCCAAGGTCACCCAGTGGGCTTAATGGCAGAGCTGGGAATTGAACCCTGGTCCCCACAGTCTAGTCCAATAATCAAACTTTTACACCACGCTCAATGTCCAAGGCAGAGTATCTTTGGTGAATGTTGGAATATTTAAAATGAATTTTAGGGATTAGGATTAAACCAGTAGATTCAGAAGTATTTTAATTAAACTAGATTGTTATTCTGTTTTAATGTGAAGTTATGTAGTGTTTTCCCCCTATAATCTAACTACTCCATCATTACCTTCAGATGGAACAGACTGTATATGTAAGCGAACACGTACTTAACTTGTCAGAAGGCCAGGGAAAAATTTTCCAGCGTATTAAAACCTGTTTCCCAAAGCACCAATCCTTAATTATTGATGAGGCTTTAGAGACTTGATATACAAGCCAAAGCTTGAACATTCAGTGATGTTGCAAGAAGCTACTTCTCCAGTGGACTCAGTATGAATATCATTCTGTGAAATAAGTAATTACCTTCAATGAAACAGGGCATCTCTGTCTCTCAAAATAAACTGTACAAACACACTCCTATGCAAATATACCAAGTGAAATCTCAGACAGTAAACCTCTGTCTGTGTGTATGTGTGTGTGTATGTGTGTGTGTGTGTGTGTGTGGTATTCCAGTGGATACCAAGTCCTTTGAAAAACTACAGGCGTAATTGATTCAGGCACAATACAAAGGCATACAGTTTGTAGCAGCATTTGTTGTTATGTGCCTTCAAGTCATTTCTGACTTATAGCAAACCTAAGGTGAACCTATCATGGAGTTTTCTGGGGCTGAGAGTGTGTGATTCATCCAGTGTGGTGTCCATGGCCAAGCGAAGACCAGAACCCTGGTTTCCAGAGTCATAGTCCAACATTCAAACCGCTACAGACAATAGGGTCAACATAGGATAAAAAATTATCTAAGACAAAAAAGAAAAGGATTTACAACTATTGACATACTTTCCGAAATCTACAGTTTTTATGTCCTAAGGGAGTTTGTACAGAAGTATCTGTTTAGTCATCCTGAGTAAAATAATAGCTGAAGAGGAATCATAAAATGTGTTGTTAACAAGTAGGAAGGATTAGAATCATAGAATCATAGAGTTGAAAGAGACCACAAGGGCCATCCAGTCCAACCCCCTGCCATGCAGGAACTCCCAATCAAAGCATTAATATTCTCTTGAGATATTGTTAAGGAAGAAGTCCATATCTACTTTCCTTCCATTTGTGAGCTGTTCCATGAAAAAGTAAGAAGCAGAGCTCTTGTGTGTACAATATCCATGATCCTGACTGTTCCCCTGTTTGATCTCAGCATTTCCCCCCCCTGCAACTCTTTTATTTATCTTTTTTTTTTTGCCTAGAAAAGCTTGATGTCTTCTGAAGTTTAGCACATTTATCTGTTCTCTTCTCCCACTTACCCCTAATATATGTTAACTTCCGTTTATATTGCATTCCTTGGGCCAATAATTTCTATTCTGTGTTGCAGTTTTTAGGACCACTATTGTGGTTTGCATATTCTTTATGAACTTCCTATGGTGGTTGGACAGCAATATAGGATAAGAAAGGTTTTGTTTTGTTTTTTCCTTTGTAAGGTGGTTTTAAATCCTGGACACCTATCTCCATCCATTCCCAGCTGGCATCAGAACTCTTAGGCTCAGCAGAAAGATGGCTATATGTGATATATCCTCAACATAAACATTGTTGTAATATGAAAGTGGACACGTTTTGTACAGTATGAAAAAATAAAAAGGTAATATGAGCCTCTAAAAATAGAGAAAGAAAATGATTACTGCTACCTTTCAGTCTTCCTAACCTCAAACTAATAGTATATTATTGGGATCAAGTACCTGACTGCTCCGTCTCTGATCAAGGAGGATCCCATTTTGAGAGAAATGCAATAGATAGGTAGATAGGTAAGTAGGTAGTCAAATGTTTTGGATCCAACTATTCTTCAGTATCAACTGCATCCAGTACTTCTTTTTCATCACAGCTGTAGGAGTCATCAGCACCTAGAAAGTACTCCTTTTCAGATTTTGTAATGACCTCCCGCATTACATAAATTTCATCAATACTGGCTTAGCCACCACACCTCAGAGACAGTGCCAATGTATTTTGAGTATATTGGTGCAGCTCTCTATTATTCGTATGGTGCACAATATTGATGCTAGTGATTCTGATGAACTCTCTACACATCCTATAGCTGGAGAAGCCCATTTCCCCTGCTTCAGGGTGGTAGGGCTACAGCAGAGCTGCATGATGCATTGTTGTTGTTGTGTGCTTTCAAGTTGTTTCCA